CCTATCAATGATATCTCTAATAAAATGAAACTTTACATCTATATGCTTTGATCTATCATGCAGGATAGGATTTTTACTTAAAAAAATAGCACTTTGGTTGTCTGAACATAACTCCACCTGATTTTCTATAAGACCTAATTCATTAAGCAAACCCTTCAGCCACAAACTCTCTTTCACAGCTTCCATTGCAGCAATATATTCAGCCTCGGTTGAGGACAATGCAACAAGTTTTTGAAGCTGAGATTTCCAGCTAATGCATGTATCATTTATCACATATAAGTATGCAGTTGTGGACTTCCTATTGTCTGGATTACCAGCAAAATCTGAATCTACATATCCCTTAAGTCTAAGTCCATTTTTATTTGTTTTGAACATTAGACCTAAGTTACTTGTTCCTTTCAAGTACTTAATTAGATTTTTCATGCATTGCCAATGTATTTCACCTGGGTTACTCATGAATCCACTTAACACGCTCACGGCATAAGCAATATCAGGTCTAGAGCAAACCATAACATACATTACAGATCCAACAGCATTAGAATAAGGCACATTTATCATTCTCTTATGCTCTTCTTCAGTTTTAGGCGATTGATCAACAGATAGTTTCATACCAGCAGATAGAGGCAAACTTACAGGCTTAGACTCATGAAGGGAGAACCTTTTTACAACCTTATCAATATACGATTTTTGTGTTAGAAACAACTTTCCATTTATCCTATCTCTTTTTATTTCCATGCCCAAAATCTTTCTAGCTGGTCCTAAATCTTTCATCTCAAATTCAGATTTCAAATTTTCTTTAATTGAGTTTAGTGCAACAGAATTGTGACCAGCAAGGAGCATATCATCAACATACAAAAGCAGATAGAAAAAATCAGATTCCCGTTCTTTCTTATAATAGAAACAGGGATCATATTCTGATTTCCTAAAGTTCAAGCCTTGTATAAAAGAGTCAAATCTTTTATACCACTGCCTAGGGGCCTGTTTTAGGCCATATAAGGATTTCTTTAAGAGACACACTAAGTTTCCCTTTCCTACCACTTCAAACCCTTTTGGTTGAGTCATATGTATGGTTTCATCTAAAGAACCATACAGGAAGGCAGTTTTCACATCAAGTTGTTCTAATTCCAAATCAAATTGTGTCACTATAGCAAGTAGGACTCTAATGGATGTATATTTAACAACCGGTGAAAAAATTTCATTGTAATCTATCCCTTCTCTCTGATTAAAACCTTTAGCTACAAGTCTTGCTTTAAACCTCTTATCACTAACCTTTGTCTCACCCTCTTTAATCTTATAAACCCATTTACAGTCAATCAACTTACAATCTTTGGATTTTTCAACTAAAGTCCAGGTTTCATTCTTAAAGAGTGAGTTCATTTCATCTTCCATTGCAGCAATCCACTTAGGGGATTCTTTGGAAGATATAGCCTCTTCATAAGAGACTGGTTCTAAGTCAAACTGATCTGATTCAGTTTGATCTGATACGAAATCAGCATGTTGATACCTATTTGGAGGTCTTATTTCCCTCCTTTCTCTGTCCCTAGCAAGTTGGTAGCCCTACAGATCATGTGCAGACTCCAAATGCTGTTCATCTTCAATTATTTCAGCATCAAAGTTATTTTGGGGTACAACCTGATGTGGCTCCACCTCAAGCTGAGCCTGGTCATCAGTATTGTGGTTATCAAAATTAATTTCTGTAATAATGAAGTCATCCTTTCCCAATTTCTCACTAGATTTGTCATTAAGACAAGGGAAATCATCTTCATTAAAGATAACAGATCTGCTTGTTATCACCTTATAACCCCTTACATCTCTTAACCACAATCTATAGCCTTTAACACCTTCTCCATATCCTAAGAACACACCCTTCAATGATCTAGGGTCCAATTTTTCTCAGTGTGATGTGCACAGGCTGCACATCCAAAAGTTCGTAGATTAGAGTAATTTGGCATTGAACCAGACTAGATTTGTTGAGGAATTCTGTTATTTAGAGAGCTGGAAGGGCATTTATTTATAAGATAACATGCTGTTTTTACAGCTTCACCCCAGAAAATTTTTGGAAGGCCAGAACTGATTAGCATACATCTGGTCCTTTCAAAATTGTCCTATTAAGCCTCTCAGCAACTCCATTCTGTTGTGGAGTATAGCTCACAGTCTTATATCTCATTATCCCTTGTTTATTGCAATATTGGTCAAATTCTGCAGAATTAAAGGCCATTATCAGTTCTTAAAATTTTTATCTTCTTACCGGTCTGATTTTTAATTAGAACACTCCATTCTTTAAAAATTGCAAAAGTATCAGATTTGGATTTTAATAAGAAAATTCATGTCTTTCTTGAATAGTCATCGGTTGTAAGAAGATAATATCTGTAACCAGATACAGTAGAAACAGGTGCTGGTCCCCATAAATCAGAATGTATGTATTCAAGGACATCTTGGGATTTGTGCAGTCCTGCCTTAAAAGACAGTCTTACATGTTTTCCCAAGATACAGTGTTCACAGAAGGTCAATTTCTGAACACTGTCTTTTCCAAATGCACCTTGACATGATAATGTTTTTAAACCTTTTTCACTTAAGTGGCCAAGTCTTTTATGCCACAGTTTTGATTTATCGGGTTGTGTGATAGAGTTCACAGAATTTTTTGGTGAAATGGTTTCAACACCTATTACATAGATTCCATTAAACTTAGGAGAACTGATAATGTGTTCTTGATTTCTTATTATATTTGTAAAACCATTTTTAATACCAATTTGATAATTTTCATCATCAAGAACTCCTAGGGATATGAGATTTCTTCTAAGTGCTGGTACATATCTTGTATGCTTTAATAACATGTGATGACCATTTTTAAATTTCAACAGCACATTTCCAATTCCCTTAACTTGGCATGACTCATCATTCCTAAGTTTTACAAATCCTCCATCCAGACTGCAAAAATCTGAAATGCAGTTAATATTGGGTGTCATATGAAAGGAACACCCTGAATCCAGGACCCAGTCCTAATCAGTATCTTCAGATAAAGATACATAGGCTACTCCAATATTAGCTCCTGCTTCTTTATAATTAGCAGCAGCAGCTAAAGAAGCATTTTCAATGTTAGACCCATTCTTTTGGTCATTTGCCCTTTTAAAACAGTCTTTAATAAAGTGGCCTGTCTTTCCACAATAAAAGCATTTTCTGTTATTGTTATTGTTGCTGTTTTGTTTTCCTTTGATTGGTTTCTTGCCTTTTCCTTTGGTATTATTCCACTGCCTTTTGTTAAAGGTTTTATTTCTATTAAAATTGGAATGACTGAAGTTACTTACTCCTTTAGGATATGGTTTTTGATTTGATGACATACCCTCAACATGGTACACTTCTTTGTGTTCAGATTTTAATTCAAGTTCTTTATTCAAAAGAGAACTGTGAATTATTTCAACAGTGAGATCACTCCTACCATACTCTAGAGTATTTCTAATATCTTTATATTTATCTCCTAGAGCATTAAGTAGGCCAACTACCTTTTGTTCATCAGAAATCTTCTCATCACAGTTTGCTAAGTCCTGTGTGATCCTATTAAACATATCCCTATTATCTCCAGTATCAAGGTTAGGATCAAACTTAAAACTAAAAAACTGTCTCCAAAGAAAACGTTTATTTGGCACAGTCTTTGTAAGGTAGTGTTTTTCTAAGGCAGTCCATAATTCTTCAGCAGTTTTAGTTTCTCCTACTTTCCTAATTACAGTATCAGACAGGTATAGGAACAGAGTGCTCCAAGCTAATTCATCTTGCTCAGTTTTCCTAGCTTCAGATAAGGTTTCTGGCCAAGATTCATCAATAGCCTTAGCACATTTTAACTGTAATAATAGTGCTTTAATTTTTTGACGCCAGAGACTAAAGTCTCCTTTGCCATCCCACATTTGGACATCTACCTTAGAGTTCATATTGTGCAGGGTTGTGAAATTGTTCACAAGTTATGATAAAACAGATATATCTCAATGATTATTTAGTCAACAGTGTGTCACAAAGTTCACTGTCCTATTATTCCAATTTCAGATTATATGTGGACTGTGCTTTATTGTGATGTGTACAGAATTATTGCAACCAAAGTAAGACGCATTCAGATATTCAATAATACAGTAAGCATGCTATGAACTTAATTTCATAAACTTACACACAGTAAGTTATCAAAAATTGTAAGTGCAGTGTATGTACCTTTGAAGCATTAAAATTTGACAGATTAACACCTGAGAAGATCAAATTGAGTGTTAGCACAATTCACATAGATTGTACAACAATTTATCAATCAAAAATATGATTTTGATTTAATTTCAACTCACAGTGAGATTTTAAGAAAGCAGTTTTTGAAGATTTCAGATTTCTTGAACCGAAATCCTAGTCCCCAAAGTTTTTAGAGTTCTCTCAGGGAACCCTAGACAGAGGTAGAGCTAGAGGAGGTTGAGAGAATCTCTTGTTTAAAAAAAAATGGTTTTATTACCAAAGTAATACTTCCCAAAAATAAGTGTACCAACTATTCACTACAAAACTAATTTGATCACAAAATTCAGTGTCTGCAGACTGCAGGTACCACAAAAAACCAGACAAGTAAAGTCTTTAATTTCACCAAGAATAGGTTAGTTACGGCTTATAGTATACCCAAAAATTATCACTATACCGCATCATTTACAAATACACAATTGTATACGAAGTTCAATATCGAGCGAAGTAAAGGAAATACAACAGTCAACAAGAACACTAGAGTATCTCAAAGAGAAAACGACATCCACACTTGCAGTGCCCTTTCAAAAATTGTTTCAGTGTTACTCAAAGAAAAGAAATTTTTTTTAAAAAAATTTAATGTTGGCAGATCTTGAAAAAGAATCTGCCTATTTTTCTTTTCGGCTGGTGAGTTGATTTCAGACCCTCGACTAAACGGGAACCCAAAAAAATAGCTAAAGTAAAAAATACTCTGAGCTCTGATACCACTGTAGGAACCCTAGAACCGTTTCAAAGCATCAAAAATCGCAAGACTAAAGATCAAGATTTGTAGATCTGAAAAACAGTAAAGAGAAACACAAGCGATTTTTGGCCGAAGCCCCAAGGTTCAGCGATTTGTTAAAATCGCCTAATCCCCGTTGAGCATCCACGAAGGAATAAGTTCGAATCCACTAGAACAAAACACACCGGCCAAAAATTACAGCAGTTTTCGAATCACAGAAGGAACACACAGTTCCTGTCACCACGACAACAATCTCCTCTACAATACAAAAGAACTCACACAAGAATTCATAGCACCACATCTACTCTCAACCAACTAAAAGAATCAACGAGATTCAAGACCAGAGAGCCAACAAATACAGAGAGAGATTTTTCAACTCAAAATGAAAAGAAAACGAAAGCTGCGTAAAATGAGAACCAACCCTAACCCTAGAATTGTTGATCCCTTTTATATGAAATAATCAATTCATTTGATCCAATGGTCCAGCGGCTGCCAGGTGTCACAATCATGTGAGAGTCGATTTTCTCAAACAGAAAGCGCGTTTTTCATTTGTGTAATTAAGCTTCCAGATAATTCTACCAGTTGGGCCATTTAACCGGGTCATGGGCTGTTGGATTGGGCTTCACAAATGGCAGCAACCCAATTTCTACAGAATCTTACAGGCAAACTGGATATACACAATCTTGAACTAGTAAACGGCATAGAAGAAGCTAAGAAGGCAGATTTGGTTGGAAAGCCAAAGATATATAAGTTAGGTTTTATGTGGACAACAAACAATGATGAGAATCTCTTGGAAGGCAACAACAACGATGAGAGTTTTTTGGAAGGCAACAACGATAAAAGTGTCCTCGAAGGCCTCCAACCTCACCCGAATTTAAAGAGCATAACAATTAAAGGGTTCAGAAGTACAAACTTCCCATCATGGACTATGAAAATGGAAGTATTCCTTGACTTGATTGAGATTAACTTTATAAATTGCAGGAATTGTGTAGAAATTCCCATGTTTGGCCACCTGTGATTCCTCAAATATCTTACCTTAGACAATTTGACTAATGTGAGATCCATAGGTCGTTCACTCTATGGTTGCCAAGAGATAAGAATAATGTTCCCAGCCCTTGAAAGGCTCATTTTAAAGAACATGCCAAACCTAACTGAGTGGGCGAGAGCTGAAGTGATGCCAGTGGTAAAAGCACGAACATGCAGAGAGCAGGTATTTCCTTGCCTTGAAGTTTTGGAGATTGAAAATTGCCCCAAATTGAATACTTTTCCAAGTCATTTCCCTTGCTTGAAAAAATTGGAAATTAATATTATAGATAGTGATTTTCTATTGAGAAAGATTTTGAGCAGCGGCAATCTAACTTCTTTGGAAACGCTCTCGATCATGGAAATATCAACTCTCACCAGTCTTATTCCTCACTTGAAAGAATGCCAGAAATATCTTCGAAATTTGATTATCATGAATTGTGAAAAATTGAGAGAATTACCTGATGATCTACACAGCTTTCGGTCTCTTGAGTCTTTAACAATAATTGGATGTCGAAGTCTGCAATCAATTTCTTGTCAAAGTGGACAAAAAGGTCTCCCTTCTCTTCGATGGTTGGACATTTTTGGTTGCTCTGAGCTGAGCTGAGCTGCCTACCAAGTGAAATGATTGAGTCCATTAGGTGTCTGGAGTTTCTACGAGTGAGTAAATGTGACAAACTCGTTTCTTTTTCAATAGATTTGGGAGAATTGCCTTGTATCTCAATGTTATGTATAAGCAATTGTCTTGAATTGAGGAGTTTGCCCAAAGGAATTGGTCGTCTTAACAACTTAAGATATTTGGAATTTGGTAGATTCTCAAAATCGATTGGTTACAACTCATTCCAAGCCGCTCTTGACAATATCCAACAATCCAAATCTCTCTGCAGATTGAATTTATATGGTTGGGAACATGAGGACTTATTGCCATATCAACTTCAACATCTTACTTCACTCGAAAGCATATCATTAACTGGTTTTGGAATTGAAGCATTGCCAGAGTGGTTTGGGGGTCTGTCATCTCTTTCAAGATTAAACTTGATGGATTGTCAAAAGCTTAGGCATATGCCCTCTAAGGAAGCGATGGAACGCCTCACCAAGCTAGAACATTTGTGTTCTTAATTGTCCATTGTTACAGGAGAGATGTTGGGAAGAAAGAGATCCTGATTCTGAGTGGTCAAAGATTTCACATATTCAGGACATAGTTGGATTGTAACAACGTGGGTAAAGAGACCTGAGCTATATAGTTGGTAAGTAATTGAGCAAAATCACTTCAGTTTTCATTATTTGTTTTTATTATAGATTATAATGATTTACTGTATGTTTTAAATATAAATTAAATATGCCTAAGTAGAGTTATTAATTAATAAATCGTCTTGTGTATTTCTCACCCAACAGATTGCCAATATATCAATCGCTATTTTTATTTGGAAGTACTTGTTATTGTAATTATTTTTGCTGGTAAATTGAAAATCATATTAAAGAATTCTATGGATTTTTATTAAAGAAATCTATGGATTTGTTAATAGTATATATTTTCACTATATTGTATTTATTAAAACAGTTTAAATTTGACGAGGTGCTCAATTTGCCGATCAATTATATATATATATATATATTCTTAACCTAGTATCTATTCTAAAGTACATTAAGCCCCTATTCAATGCCCAATAAAAAGATTTTTTCTGGCAGAAAAAGGATTTTGGAATAATGAGTTTTAGATAATGTATAGTTAAAAAGTAAGAAAATATTTTGGATTTATGTGTAAAATATTTTATTGTGTGAATGTGTGTTTGAAAATGAGTTTAAAAAAAAAAAAAAAAGACTTCCCCAGGAATGGTAGACAAACAAGAGCTAAAGTTATTTTCTAGATTTCATATATATATATATATATGCAAAATTAATTTATTTTTCCTTTCATTGTTGTCAGCGGAACGTGGGTATAGATTAGTCAAATGTTTGAGGTGGAAGATGCGTTTTGAATATTTGACGTGAGTTTGAGCAAAAATAAACTTCTTCAGCATAGATTCTCGAGGGAGCTAGGTTGCACTCTTCAACAGTAGTTCAAGAATGATTGCAAGTATTGTGTTTGAAATACAAAGTGCGGGGAGTTTATGAATTGTTAGTTCTTAATACTCTATATGTCCAGACTATTTGCTTTTAATTATTTCTTAATGTTTATTAAAATACTATTCTGCTTGTATTATTTCCTAGAACAAGGGATTGCTTGTTCTTAATTATTTCACCGGTCATGGAATAACATGGCTTTGATTTTGTTTTAAGTTTATTTACACATTGTTTGCAACTTACACAACTAGAAATTTTCATTTCCCTTTTGTACATGTGCAGAACACATCGATTAGTTTCTTTTAGCAAAGAATACATAGCACAGTCCAAAGTGTTGTATTCTTAACTTCAGAAAGTTATTTTCTTCCAAGTACATTCAGAATTAAGATAAGGAATGCCAAATATGAAAATAAGAATTTTTTTTTTTTAAGGAAAACTATGTTTTATTAAAACCCTTGCTAATGGTGGAGAAAAACCATAGTTACAATACGAAACAGACAATCAAAAATAACAAGTAGGATCTCAATAGACACCATTATCCAAAATTTCAAACTGCATAAATCACTTCCTCAAGTAAACAACCCCCATCATATCTAGACGAAGTAAACCTCGAGTAATCCTTGGCAAATCTGTCCAGTTATTAAAACGTTTTGATAGGCCCTTAGCTCCCAATCTCGCTAGGCAATCTACCACTTGATTTCCTTCTCTCCATTGATGTATCACTTGGTAATCAAACGTCGGTAATAACTCCAAAAGATTATCCCAATAGTCCCACAAATACTACAAAGAGCATTTCCAGGTTAGTAACCATGAAACCACCAACAGTGAGTCACACTCAATGTCAATATGATTTACCCCCAACTCATGGCATAACTTTAAACCTTCAATGAGTGCTCTCAATTCAGCTTCATTATTTGTCCCGTTACCAAAATTAATATTGAACGCTGAAATCAATTCACCTCTTTCGTTTCTAATCACTCCCCCACCACCAATTTGTCTAGGATTCCCAAGACTGCTACCATCCATGTTAAGTTTTACTCGATTATAAAGTGGTTTTTTCCACGAGACCACCCGAATCTGCTTTGTTCTAGCTGGTGCTCGAGGTATCTTGAGCATTCGAAGCACATACTCATCTTGACTAGTTAGCAGCTTGGCATTTGACAGGTTAAGAGATACCTGTTGTAACCAAAATTTAATCGATAAGAACATGTCTTCAATAGATTCAAGTTTACCTTCCATCCTTGCTTTACATCTTCTTGTCCATAATCTCCAAGTAATTAAGCTTGGAAGCAACCCAATCAAGCATCCCACCTGTGAAGATTTTTTTGCTCTGTTCCACCATAAATTGATTCTTTCTACCCAGCTTTGTCTAGCTCTCCAGCGCACACCTACAAAGGCAGCTACTTTCCTCCACACCTTGTCTGTAAAGTCTCCAGAACTTAGGACACGAGAAGCATTTTCCTCATGACCTGTAGAACAACAATCACATTTGGATGCAAGGCTAATGCCAACTGACTTAATGCGTTCATCAACACATAAACTCCCATTTAGAGCTCTCCACATCAGCACAGAGACACGTTTAGGCAAAGCATTATTCCACACCCAAGCCGCCCATTCAACTTGCTCAACTCGCACCCTCACCACCTCCCAAGCCGATTTTGTAGTAAATACTCCATGTCTATGTGGTTTCCAAATTAACAAATCATTTCCCATTCTTCGAGCTCCAACCAGAGATACAACTTCCTTGGCTAGAGTATCACCAACAAGGTTTTTCAGCCAAACCATATCCCATCCATTTTCTAAGCAAATTTCATTAATTTTCAGCTTCGGTTCTACAACCTCGGTTACTTGTGCACATAGAGGGCCCCCCGCTATCCATTTGTCGAACCAGAAAGAGCAAGATCCATCTCTTATCTTCCATTGACTAAGTTCAATCACCTCAGAGAGGCAATCTCTTGTAGATTTCCAGAAGCTAGTCCCAATATGCTTTAAATTAGTTATATCCAATATCCCCTGTTTGGAGTATTTTACTCTAAAAAATCTTGCCCATAATGAATCTGAAGATAGAAAGCGCCAAGCAAACTTCATGTGTAAAGCCCGTTGAACATCTTCAAATTTTCAAATCCCAATCCCTCCCTCCAACACAGGTCGGCACAACTTTTCCCACGCGCACCATTTTTTCTTAGTCCTCCCATTGAATTTTCCCCAAAAAATGAAGGGCTATACTAGAAAAGACATGACGTAGAAGCACTAGCCTCCCCCCTTGGGATAGTAAAAGCATCTTCCAACCAGCAATTTTTTTTTCTGAATTTTACCAATCATAGACTCCAAGTGTCGAGCACTAAGCCTTCCCTGCACAATCGGCACCCCCAAATACAACATTGGAAATTGGCCCTCTTTAAACCCTGTCTCCTGTATGATATCATTTTTCTGCACTAAAGAAAACTTTCTGGAGAAAAACATGGCCGACTTTTCTTTATTGATAAGTTGCCCAGACCAATCTTCATATACTTCCAACACCTCCATTAATCCTTTCATCGACTTGTTACACCCATTGGCGAATATAACAAGATCATCCGCATACATAAGGTGAGAAACCAAAGGAGCACCTCGAGGATGAGAAAATCTCCCAATTGGTCCAGTATCAAAGTTTTTCTTCAAGAGTCTAGTCAGAACCTCCTGCATAATAATGAAAAGATAGGAAGAGAGAGGGTCTCCTTGCCTCAGACCACGCCTGGACTTGAAAAATCCTTGAGTGGTGCCATTCATCATAATTGAATACCAAGGCTTTGTTATGCACTGGTCAATCAATCGGCAAAATCTATCTGGGAAGCCAAAAGTTCATAAGACATGTTGCAAAAACCGCCAGTCTACCCTATCATAAGCCTTTGCCATGTCCACCTTAACCATCACATTTCCTCCTCGCACCTTTTTATTCATAGATTATACTAACTCCTGCGTTAGAATGATATTTTCAACAATGTTTCTTCCAGCAACGAAAACTCCTTGCTCGACTGAAATAATTTTAGAAAGTAAAACAGCCATCCGAGATACCAGAATTTTTTAGAAGACCTTATAGATTACAGAGCATGGACTTATAGGTCTAAATTTATCAAACCCATTCGGTTCCTCCACCTTCGGAATGAGGACAATATAAGAGGATGTGTAAAACCGATTAAGCTCTCCTCCTCCAAGGAAATCCTATGCAGCTTCGACCACTTCCTTTTTGACAATATCCCAGCATTTGATAAAAAACTTGATCCAAACCCATCTGGCCCAGGGGAACTATCCATGGGAATCACAAAGACAGCCTCTTTTACTTCATTTTCAATCGGCATAGCACAAAGATATTGACCCTCTTCATCAGTTAAGGTATCATCAATCAAGCTAGATAAATTTGGTACTGCCCCCACGTGTTCTTCAGTAAGAAAATTCCGAAAATATCTCACTGCCTCCATATGTATTTGTTGTGGAGAAGATAATTGAGTTCTATTTTCTAGCATCATTTGGTCCAACCTCCTATTTTTTCGATGTTGGGCAATGACAGCATGAAAAAACTTAGTGTTGTTATCCCCCTCCCTAAGCCATCGCTTCTTTGCTACTTGAGAGAGTCTTATTTCTTCTCGCTTCTGCCACTCCGCTAACTCAATGTTGGTCACTAAAAAGTCCTGTTCCACATCATACGAGAACCCCTCTTGCAATGACTCTTCAAGTATCTCTACTCTCTCCTGAAGCTCTAATATAATGTGGTCAACCCTTCCAAAGACTTTTTTATTCCACACTTTTAGCGCCAATTTAGTCCTTTTTAGCTTTCCAGCCAACTTTTGTAGACCTCCCAACGCCACATCCTGATTACAATCCACCCACGCTTCCTTAAGACAAGACATAAAGGTTTCATGTTCACACCACATACGCTGGAAACGAAAAGGTGAGGGTCCATATGAGACCCTTGGCTGCTTAAAATGTATAAGCAATGGACAGTGATCAGATGTCTCCTTCGCCAACAATCTCAAGCCCATATTCGGGAACAAACTGGCTGCCATGGAATTAGTAAAAGTTCGATCAAGTCGAGCCCAACTCCTTGTTGCTCCATCTTGGCCATTGCACCATGTAAACTTCCTCTCCTCCGCATTTAGCTCTATCAACCCACATCTATCAATACAATAGTTGAAATCATCCATCGCCACCATTGGACGTGGTCTCCCACCCTTTCGCTCTGAATCATTTCTAATGATATTAAAATTACCAGCAACAATCCTAGGTAAATTGCTAACCATAATGCTCTCCAACTCCTGCCATAGCAACCTCCTTTCTAGAGCAGAACATTTAGCATAGACGAAAGAAATTATTACTGTACTTGATCCCTTAGAAAAGATGCCATGTATAGCCTGGTTCGATGCTCCCACCCAATCTACTACAAACTCCTCTCTCCAAAAAATCCAAATCTTACCTCCCTCTTGCTCATTAGACACACAATTTGCAAATTTTAATTTTCTGGCCAACATTCTCATCCTGCTCTCACTTTGAAAAGGCTCTAACACTACCAAAATAGCTACATTATGTTTACTTACCAACTAACCGATCCTCCGTCTTGACGTGCCCACTCCCCGCACGTTCCAAATCAAACATTCATCCATCATAGATTCAACCTGTCGGGGTGTGCTCGCGCCCTATGTGAAAACCTAACTGAGGGACCCTTAATTTTTCCTTTTGATATCCTGCCTAACTCTGAATCAGAATTACAATCAGCATGTCCATCCTCAAACTTCTCTCCATCAGACCCACCGTCTGTTAAATTTCCACATGTATTTTCCTGTTCAGATGTGTGACTCGTATCTATCATCACCGAAACACCTTTCGTATCCTCTGTACCAGATTTAGAGGAGTTAAAATGACCCTTCACGACTGTGTTTATCTCCTCACCACTCACGGGTTGCACCTTACCATCCTCTAACATCTTAGCCTGGTTCTCCATTGAATTCGTAATGATGACTTCTTCACTCTCCGATAGGAGCACATCTAAAGCCTTACATTGAACTACATTATGTGTTTGTTGAGCAACTATCTCCTCATCGCCACGACCAGGATCATTGGTCACCGAGTCATTCTCAATATGTTTATGATTTTGCATAATAACTTGAAGACAAACCTGATTCTCCTTGGATTTAGCATAGTTTAAATTTTCTTCACCTTCATTTATCTTCGTAGTTCCACTTGGTGTTGCATCATCAATCTGCTTAGTCCCACTCGGCTCTACAACCTCGACCTGCTTAGTTCCACTTAGCTCAGCAACATTAATCTGTTCTACCACCAACCTACCTTCATTTTGAATTTTTCGCCATTCCCGTCTTTCCTTCACCACTGGATCATCTTTTTTACTTTTTCCTTTCACTGGCTGCACATCCTGTCCAACTCTACAAGCTGCTGCAGGATGCCCCTGTCTTCCACACTTCGTACAATAATTGCCCATCTTCTCGTAGCTTACTTCCTGCCATATGGTCTTCTTGGATGAAATCGTTATCGGAAATCCCTCAACCATCTCATCCAGTAAATCTACCTCTACACACATTCTCACCCCCGTTGCCCTTGTTCGATTCAAAGTGGCATGATCTGTACCCAAAAATCTTCCAAACAGAGTTGCAAACATCCGAAGACAATCCGGTCTATATAAGTGCATTGGTAATCCAGGAAGGAAGATCCATTGAGATGTTGTAGAAGGTTCTTTATTCAGATCAAAATTAGGAGTCCACTTGAACATGCGGAACTTAGCACCCGCTAAAGACCTGCCCTCTCGAGCCCAAACATGAAAAAAATCGGCTTCATTCTTCAATTGGATAAGGACGTGAACGGCATCCATAAAACTGATAATTGGAGCCTCTTTCAACCCCCACATTTTTACTACCACCCGTCTCAAATCATCAATATTTGGCCGTGTAACCAAGAATTTTAACACTAGAGCAAATTTGAGATCATCCGCAAGCTTCTTCGTCTCTTGATCTGTAAAAGAAAATCCCAACAGCCCATTCATCAGTGTTGGGTTTTTCATTGGAATAGGAGGAGATTTCATCACGTTTCCACCTCCCAATCGTGCAACTTCTAAGAAAGATCTCCCCTGCTGGACAGATTTGGTCAAATCTGTGTTTCCATCAGGATCCGACCGTGGCTCCGACCCCATCTGGGTTGTCACCACCACCATGACGGTGGGTCTCGAGATGAACCCTACCCAAATCGGTGGGTCTCGAGACGAACCCTACCTAAATCGCCAAACAATAAGAACTTCTGTTCGTAAACTTTGTGAAAAATGTTGCCTAATCCGTAGTAATGGCATCGATCAATGAAAATTATTACTTGTGAAATGAAGAAAGAATCGGCCACATTAGAGTTATGAACCATTGGCTTTGTTCTTACTCAAAAATAGTAATGAATAATGAAATAGTGAATTTGTAGATGCTAATGTACATTGTTGTGCTTGATCCACAAGTAAGGTCTGGAATAATTCAGCCAAATTATTTCCTAAACCATACAATTCAAATCAACAATTTTTGCACCCAAAAACAAAGTAAAAAGAGAAATATAACTCCTAAGACATCTAACGAGTATATGAGTGTATTTACAAAGAAGTGGTGTAGCAATGTAGTTATTACATTGAGGTCGAGACATAAAATACGTCTCCTCCTCGTCTTGGATTTCGATTCTATATTTCTTTTGAGATATATTTAGTTGTACATAAAAATAAATTATACTTACTCTTAAACTAAGTATTTGCTTAACATGATTTTCAAGTTACTATTTTCTACAAAGTAAACTAAAACTCAGTAACTTAATTGAACTGAATGTTATGGTCAAATCAACAAATTCAGATCAATAATCATTTTGGACTCCAAATTAAAAATTTCCTACAGTTCTTAGCAATTTGATAGTTGATTGCTTGATCTCCGAGCAACACAATTCATTTTGATTTATAGTAATTGTAGGCCTTGCATAATCCACAATTTGTTGTGGTATTTTAATCGGAAATCAATTGTATCATATCTATGTTGATTTAGGGAAATCTTGAAGTGGGTTCTATTGATTTTTGTTATGCGTGGCTTCTTCACATACTTCAGATTCGTGTTTTCATGTATATTTGACTACATCAGGACATAAATTTTTGAGAATTACAGTTCAAAATCCGTGCAGTGTTTGGGTAATTGGGTTGGTGTAGATGGGGAAACCATTACTTTATGAGATATGGGAAAAACCAGCTACAATTTGTATAATAGGCATATGTAGTGCAATATGGTTCGACATACAGAAGAACATTGGGTATTCATATGTGGGCTTGAGTTATGATACTGTAGTGGAAGATCACCTCTGGGGGATAATAACATCTGCTTGATCACATATTAGTGTTCTTCATTATCATTAGTATTTGTTGTTTCGTAAGGAATGCTAGTTCTAGGGAGAGTGACTGCAGTTGGGTATTCTTGTGTCGTTTTTTGGGTAGACTACAATTTCGTCGGAGAAACGGCCTTCATCTAACTTGGATCTTTATGGATTTTTCTCACCTCCTATCAGTTTTGCACCATTTTAGTCTCTCATCTTTACGTCTATAATTGTTCCGCAAGTGAGTTTCCTTAGTCATTTGTCAAGAATCATTTGTGGATACTCTGCTAGGATGGATTGTGCTGATATGTATATTCAGTTTGAAGAAGTCTGGTACATATAATTTCAGCTTTCTTGAGATTGAATTGGTGACAGATCCTTCTGTGCCGTCAGTGCATTTCATAGCTTCAGGGGACGATAGAACCTTGCAAATGAGCACATTGCCAGATGTCGATAGCGATCTTGTCTAGCTTCTGGGAGAACTATTTATACTACAATACTTCGGGTTTATCAGGTCATTTAGCAAATGCTGTAATAAGGTGTTACTTCTAGGGGGTTGCTTTTACTGCTTTTCAGATCAGCATGAATGTCAAATGTTTTATGACACCATATGGAGAAATTAGTCACCCACGTTGACGAAGCCTTGTTTATATTATATGCTAAGTCTTACTCCAGGTAAATTTGGGATCGACTACTTGTGTGTTTTTTTTTTTTTTTTTTTTTTTTTTTTTTTTTTTTTTTTTTTGTCAATTTCATTTATTTTGTCACTATAACTACCCATAGGGATATTTTGTCACAAGACCTATAATGCAGCAAAAGCATTGTCTTAATCATGGATTATGTATTTTTCCACTTCGAAAAGCAAAAGGTTGTCATATTAAAGATGTAGAGCGAGTAATTTGCCTTAGTACAGACCTGATCCTTGTGAAGACCCGCCCACAAATGGGACGAGGATTTCCCTCTTAATCGGGTTGGTGAGACAGTGTAGAAAATTCAGTCATGAGACAGGTACTGGTAGGGACACGGGATGGGATTCTAGTCCAGCCCCGTCCAGAATTTTTTTTTTTTTTATTTTGATATAGTTCTTGTTCGGTCCCCATTATGTTCAAAATACATTTTTTTCTCTATTATTTTTAACTATACATTTTTTAATAAAATAATATTACATACAAACCCAAAACTTTTCTTTATTTTTTAACCATACATTCTCCATCAAAATACTATTCCAAAATCTTTTTTGAGCAAAAATTGGGGCTCAAACAGGCATTTAAAATAATTGTTTATACATACAATGGATTCAGTTAATTGGAAACATTAAATTGAAGGCCACAAATTCACTGAGGGTCTATTTGATGATAATTTTTTAGAATATGTCCACCTCTCTTTTTATGGAGTATTTTTCCAACCTGAACCCGTCCCTAATTTTTTCTCTTGGTTAACATTCAACTATATAACAGCATGTGATCATCAACCTTTCATAACTTTGATTTCTGATCATAATAATTGGTTCTGGAGTCATATATTATAGGGCGGCTGGTGGCTGTGTTTGTACATATTTTTACGGCATTTTTCTTCAGTATTGTGCATTTGCTTTCTCAAATTTATGACATTTTGGAAGGAAAGATTAATTAGTAACCTAAATTTTGGTCAATAATATTGTCTAGTGTCGTAGAATCCAAAGTTGCATTCTACATGCGTCAACACCCGTAAACGAAAAGTAAAACAAGGGGAAAAACATTACAGAATTCATTATAAGATGCAATTGCAATGTCATTCATAAATATAAACATCAATAGAGTTTTTTAGAACTACATTTTGGCATCTGCAAATGAAAGAATTTTGAAAGTGATGAATAACGGTGAATACACAAGACTCAGTGCTAAAATCAAGTGATATATTGCTACCCTCAAATGGGGCAAATAACCCCCGACTTATACCCCACAATAAGGCCAAGTTTGAGCCATATTAATGTAAGAATGAGAATGAAAAATATAGCCGTTACAAGTCCCACATAAGACATAGAAAATCAAATATGGTGACTTGATATGATGGATAACAATTATATTTTTTATTTTAATGGGAAAATAATAGGAAACAAACAGGGGCTAAATATACATGAAACAAATACAACTTCCAATTTGGAAAA